CGTCTCGACAGTCCACTTGCAGCAGCGTGGAAGTTGGCCGCTCTTCTAGTCGCCGCCGAGGCTTTGTTCGACCGCAGGGCACCGACTTCGCTGCGAGTGCTCGTCACAGAGAAAGCGTACTCAGCCTGGGAAGCATCGCCCACCTACAGTATTATTTTGCGCGGACCGGTCTTCTCGACGGCAAGGGTGCTCAGCTAGCAAGAAAGAACAAAGCCAAAGGAGGACTGGATCTCTCCTCTGTCAGCAGCTCCAGCTCGAACTCGCCAGGAATTGTTGATTCGGGGGGGAACAGCCCAGAACTAGGCTCTCAACCTTTTGGCGCAGGACCCATGGTGGAATCGCCTACCGATGACCACTACTACTCTGACGATTTCGAAGAGGACCCGGATGTTCTGCCTCCGACCGCGAGCACTTACATTCACAGAAACAAGCCGGTGCCGAAGCCTCCTACGATCGAAGAGCTCAAGGCGGACTTGACAGGATCTCTCGAGAAGGCGGCTCAGGCCTTGAGACACGCAAAAAAGCATAGGGATAGCAGCCCTGTGCCGGAACTGCCGGAGATTCCTACAAGAGGACAAAGCGAGCCTCCCAAGAAAACGTCAACAGGCTGGCACGAGGTTCAGGGCATGCACATTCTTGATGTCATGACACTGGCCATTCGAGCTGCCAGGAACTATTACACGGCGCATGAAGTCCCCGAGCGACTGGACGCCATCAAATCTGAAAAGGAAATCCGCACAGAACTGCTCTCTGTCATGGAGACCTTGAAGCAGATGGCAACTCGACAATGGTCAGGCGGAATGAAAGACGAGGAGCTGCGCATCCTCGAATCGTGGATTTCCGGACTTTTCAGCATGTTGAAGATTGAAGAGGAGATGATTGAGGCAGAAAAGGCGGAGCGAAGCTCTTGGACATGGCTGCAGGGTGACTGGGCTGGCAAAGAAGTGGAAAGAGAATTAGCTTTCATGGCTTCTCTCGTCCCTCAGGCCGACCCGCTACCAGACTACACGCCTGCAGCTCACGCAAGCGAGTGTCCGACGCCTTATCTCATCAGTTTGCAGAATGGCATTCACCTAATTGAACTGCACAATGCGGCGGTGAAGAGGTCAAAACGGCGATTCGGCTTGATTACTACATTCCATACCGACACAGACAAGCCGTATCGGTCTGCAGACAATATCAGATACTGGGCCAAAGCAGCAGAGCTGCGCTGGGAAGTGCTACTCAAGGTGGACGCCTTGGGTATTGTTTACAATAATTCTCCCGAAGTCTGGGTTAACTTTGAGAAGGCCATCATGGATTGGAGTCGAAAGGTCCGCGAGGAGATCACTTCTGAACTTTTGGGCTAAGCTTTTGCTTGTCCTAGGCTGCTGTCGTTATGATTTACGCACCCAAATACCCGTCTTTTCTGGAGTTCTGTGGTGGAATTTGGTTTTCATTTGTTGCGTTTACCCCCTAAGAGGCTTCGGATCTATGCACTACACACGCACTCGACGGTTTGCATGTTATCTCGCAATACCATCTAGATTACGGAGATTTCAGGAGATTGAAGTGTGGAAAATTGATGGTCCATCAATGGACGCGAGATAGGATATTCGGGCGTTGGACAGTTGTTTCCTACCATTCTTAGTACATAACTTTACTGGAGGCTTGTCCCTCCCAATTGATATTGATCTACGACCACTGCGTTTTTGAACCTGCCTCGATATCTGAATGCTTGAGATTTCGGTGCCCGATTTGCTGGATGTATAACATATTCTGTGGGGTTCTCCTGACGAGAGGGAGGCTTGAGTAGTCATTAATGTGCTTTTCACTCGGGAAAGCTATTCAAATTGAAGCTCCCGTATTAATGTTGCCCACCTGAACTCATTCCATCTCTCATAGTCCAGCATTGATAGAGATTTGAGGCCGCGTTCAAAAGAGGGCCGATTTATCAGACCATCGAAGCCACAGTAATAGGCTACTGGTGAAGTGAGCTTCGCTAATACTTCTCATCAATGCACAGCACTTCAAGCTGAAGCCGTCATGTTCCTTGACGATGACAGGAGCTAAGAATTGGCCGGGAGCTGGTATTTCCCGGGGCCGAGACTACAACCAATCAGAGCAAAGTGGCAGAGCTTCGGTGGCCACAGGGATAGGGCGCTAGTCGGAGCTGAGCCGTGCTTCCCTTTGAGGTAGAAGGCTGCAGTGGGACGTACGTCGACACCACAACCTCCGAAAACAACGATCTGATTACCACACGAGCTACCTCACCCACTCCCATCCACCAACCGACCCAACCTTCGAAACTCGAAACCCGAACGCGATCATCCACCGCCACAGCACCCCCTTCCGAACCGCAGTCATTCCATTTCCTCGACGAGATCAAGGCAGTAGCCCTTTCCTCTTCAACTTCCCACATTCAGAGATGTCTTCCGACGAGGAACGCCAGAAGGCTCTCGACTCGTACCGGGCCAAGCTGCTCGAATCCCGGGAGTGGGAAGCTAAGCTCAAGTCCCTGCGGCTCGAGATCAAGGATTTGCAGCGGGAGTTTGACAGAACCGAAGACAACATTAAGGCGTTGCAGAGTGTCGGTCAGATTATCGGCGAGGTCCTTAAGCAGCTCGATGACGAAAGATGTAAGTGAAGGCATCCCCATCCCGCTTTCCGCCTCCGATGGACACCGTCCCCGCCCCACCACCACTACCTACCACGATTGCCGCCAAGAACGAGACGCGAATGATTAGGACTCAACTTTTGCTAATCAACGTTCCCATTCACGAATAGTCATCGTCAAGGCTTCCTCCGGTCCCAGATATGTCGTCGGATGCAGATCAAAGGTTGACAAGGTCAAGCTCAAGCAAGGCACGCGCGTGGCACTCGATATGACGACACTCACGATCATGCGTATGCTTCCCCGAGAAGTCGACCCCCTCGTCTACAACATGTCACTGGAAGACCCCGGTCAAGTCAGCTTCGCTGGTATCGGTGGACTGAACGACCAGATTCGCGAGCTCCGCGAGGTCATTGAGCTGCCACTCAAGAACCCCGAGCTCTTCCTGCGTGTGGGCATCAAGCCGCCCAAGGGTGTTTTGCTTTACGGACCTCCTGGTACGGGAAAGACGTTGCTTGCACGTGCCGTGGCAAGCAGTCTCGAGACCAACTTTCTCAAGGGTAGGTCTACTCCGTTGGGAGTGGTCGCAGACGGTAGAAGGAAGTGTGCTAATGAGGTCAAACAGTTGTTTCTTCAGCAATTGTCGACAAGTACATCGGAGAGTCTGCCCGCCTGATTCGCGAGATGTTCGGCTACGCCAAGGAGCACGAGCCCTGCATTATCTTCATGGACGAGATCGACGCCATTGGTGGACGCAGATTCTCTGAGGGAACCAGTGCGGATCGTGAGATCCAGAGAACGTTGATGGAGTTGCTCAACCAGCTGGACGGTTTCGACTACCTCGGAAAGACCAAAATCATCATGGCCACGAACAGACCTGATACCCTCGATCCCGCGCTGCTTCGTGCTGGACGTCTCGACCGCAAGATTGAGATTGCCCTGCCGAACGAGGTCGGCCGTTTGGAGATTCTCAAGATCCATGCCCAGGGCGTGGTGACGGAGGGTGAGATTGACTTCGAGAGCGTGGTGAAGATGAGCGATGGTCTTAATGGTGCGGATTTGAGAAACGTCGTGACAGAAGCGTGAGTGACTGCACATCTTGACAGCACCCGTAATACCCGAAGCTAACTAGTAATGCCCAGTGGTCTGTTTGCCATCAAGGATTACCGCGACGCAATCAACCAGGACGACTTCAACAAGGCAGTACGCAAGGTCGCCGAGTCGAAGAAGCTGGAGGGCAAGCTCGAGTACCAGAAGTTGTAAGGTCAGAGAGGAGGCGACATGGTGATTCACGGGATGAGGCGCGGAGGAGCAAAGGAAAGACATCGAAAGGGGCGGCTGGATCGAGCATCGTCGGTTCTCAGCCGTTTAGAGGGTCTTTTAATGTGTTAAACAGTGTACAATACCCGAGTCCAGGTTTGGGGTTGTTTGCCATGGGATCATAGAGACGTACGGTGTGGAATAGAAGCAGCTACGGGATCCCAAAGATGAAACAAGCGCATGCACAAGCAGTAATGTCCATCGTTGACGGCGACATTGTACGGATGTATATTAACCCGTATGATCAGCTTGCATTCCATGCCCGCGCAACAAGACCTATACGAAGCGCTTTGGCGTTTGTATCAAGAAATATCATGAAGAATGCATGGCCATGGTGAGTTTTCTTATCTCTGCGCCCTTAGAATGTTCCCTGGTAGGTAGGTAGGTATTTTTGGGGGGCCCGAGTCTAGGGTAGCCCGTAGCTGTGAGGCTCCATTTTTGAAGCTATTGATAATTGCACAGCCTCGACTGAGCTGGGGGGCTGGGTACGGGGTGTGGTCCGGCGCGGCGGCGCCACGTGCCAGAGTGCCATCTTATTGAACTGCTCAACAAACAATAGTGTGTCTGTACTCGAGAGCGCTACTCGCTGGCAGAAGGCCTCCGTTTACTCATCCACCTCGGTGCACGGCGAGGATGCCGTGTTAGGCCAGTCACCAATGTCGAGTTCGACACGGGCCTTCATATCTACAGCAGGCCCCCCGAGTAAGCGTAGGGCTGGGGAGAAAGGAACGGGGGGTGTACCCTTTGTGGTCCAAGCCACAGATAGCTCAGGGGGTGTATTTAGGTACTGCTCATCGACATGGCTTGGTGTAAGCGAAGCTACAGCGGGTTGTGCTTCTTAGTCGAGTCTTACATGATCTTTCTGTTCCTTCGCTAACAGCTTACACTGCAGGCAGACGACGGAAGCACATGCTTACAATCCTGTCTGACGAGAAGAAAACGGGTGGGGAATGAGGTCGCACATTGTAAGCCCGGGAGGATCGAAGGTCTGGTCCTGAATTTGTGATTCGACGAATCCGCCATGCCGTGCAAAGGAGGCTGTTGAAGCTGCTGCAAGCGGATGGCGGGGCTCTAGCTGAGACCACCTCTATGTGCTGGGTGATCTCGCACGGCAACGAATAGAGACAAAGGTTAGCCACATGTTTTCGATGGGAAGATTGCCGTAAGACTGGAGATGAGCGACTGCAACCGGGGCATGCTCTGCAGGCGGCGTCTCGAGTACCCCGGCGGCCGTCTGATATGAGCGCATCCACGCATGAGGTGTTGGACTTTGTTTGAATCTGGCTTGGTGGGTACGGCGTTCGCTTTTCTTCGGATTGAGCAACACTGAAGCCATGGCGAGGTACCTCATACAGTTGTGCGATGCATGGTTTCTGTGTGGGCCGTACTGGCCTTCCATTCGGCCTATTTGCTGATTCCAGGGACCGTGGAACGTGGATTGTGCGTAGCACGAAATCGACATCAGAAAGATCTGGATAGCGCGCAACGAGCGGCTGTATGATACTAAACAGGCGCGCTCGACGTGTCCGGGCTTGGCTCAAAACTTCAGGGTTTGCCTCGGCTGGGTGGACTCGCGACCGATTCGAGAAGATCTGGGTCAAGCTGGGGCGGCGAGATGGGCGGTGGCATGGAAAAGTTGCCAGATGATGATTTGCAGGAGAGGCCGGTCTAGCAGGGTTCTCTCCTCGGTGCGAGATGTTATTTTTGGCGACTGGTATACGGAGTGGACGACAAGCCGCCCCTTTTGTGGCCCGTTCTCACGATGGCAATTGAGGCTGTACCTCTTCTTAGTGCGTTGTCTTCTCTTCTGTTTTTTTCCCCTTCTCGTCCGCTTCTTTTCGTACCTGGGGGCCCCACTCCCTCCCTCCCCTGTGCGGCCCCTCCATGCTTCATGGGTGCAACCAGCAACGGAGCCAAGCAGCAAGAGTTGGACACCAGGGGACCCGAGCTTGGGAATTCTTGTCGCTTGGTGTCACATTGGCGACGATCCCCGCTGGATTCTTTCTAGCGCTTGACAACCAAGGGGTGTCCGCACCCAGATGATTGGGGACTGGGGCACGTCGGAGCCAGGTAATACGAAAAGAAGGGGTCGAAAAAGCGATGATGTCGGTGATGGAATCCTCAAAAAAACGTTGGAGGGTGGGACAGGGCATGACGAACGTAGGTAGCCGTCGCACCGATGCCCGAGAATAGGGGACGTCTTTGACGCAACACCAAGAAATAATCAAACCGACAAATCGGGTGGACGGAGCGTATCGCAGACGTTAGACAACTAAGGTAGCGAGTTGTCATGTTTGATCTCTTGTGTACCTGACTATTAGTACACATTACGTGCAGTTGTTGATTTGCTTGGTAGGATTGTGATTCCCAATTAATGACGAGATGTTGTTGGGATAAGGCGGTAACTGAATCAGATCTTGGTGTTGGCGGGTTTGGGGGCACATGGGATGAGCACTTCAGGAGGCGCGTGCTCGGATAGGTACGAAGTACTCCGTACACCGTACCTGCCATGCCATGCGTGTGCATGTATTGTGGGAGAGTGGGGGAGCTCGGGTCAAGTTAAGTTCCCGCAGCTACTTCGTACATAGTAGTCCATAGGAAAGACGCGCTGATAAAGGTACGGGCTGTGGCAGAGAAAGAGGTGTGTTGAAATTCGATGGATGGCAAGGCGGGTGAGGCGTTACAGCAGAAGTTGATGGCAGCAGCTTTCCTAACTCGGTGCCTGCTTGGTGCCTGCTTGGTGCGGGCTTCATCACAAGCTGACCATTTCGGAAGGCTTTAGCGTTACAAATGCAGCTTGCGGAAATCGTGCCTTTCTAGCGGCTGGATTGGAATGGAAGCGGCGAGAGCAGCATCGGAGTCAGATGGATGCCAAATCGTGCTCAATCAAGTGTTGGTTGGCTGATTATCTGTAGAATTCCTCAAGCGAGAAAGGTGAATGCGCATAGCACATATGGTATTATCCAGGACTCCGTACTTGCAAGTAAGTGCTATGGAGATATTACTGTGAACCATTTGGCCAACAGCATTGGTCGTACTGTATCCGTAACAGCAGTTGAAATGAAGAAGCAAGTCTTTTCTAAAGCCCACGATGTTATCGCGGTACGTACCGAGGGCGATCTTTGGAGCTAGTGTAGCAGCCGAATGGCTCAGCCAGGGAATGGCGCCACAGTCCACGAAAGGAGGGGGGGGGGGGCTTGAGGAGGACGGGAGGAGGAGGAACCCAAGAGGAACCCGCTGGGAGAGCCTGGAGGAGGTGAGGGATGGGAGCGGTGGGTGGCATTCCTGCACTGCGCCTGCGGCCGCGTCCAGGTACCGTACGGATAGTCTGAAATAGTGTCTGTCTCTGGATGAAATGAAAGCAAGAGGTGGGATGGCACAGAAAACGACGGACCAGTCAATGATGCAGCATAGACAACATGTCAGACATTGGGCTGTAGGTATTCTTCCTTGTCTGCAGTCTGCTCAGGCACACAAGAAACAACGGATTTCGCCGGGATGGGGCTAGAAATGTTCTTCAAGATGTGTGGTTAAGTCAAGGTTCCAAGGAATATCGCGATGTGTGTTGCTGCAGGCAAGTGGTGCCAGAAGCTGCAGCTCCTTTGCTGTTGCCGGTGAGGTGGGGGCCTTTCCAGTCTCCAGAAACCTGCTGCCCCTCACTCGCTGCATTCGCGGCTCTTCCACTGGCTGAGCACGTCTGTCTTTCCCAACTCTGACCGGGTCGCCCCAGACATCGAACTGCAAAGAAGTGCGGATTACGGATACCGGTACGGATAGGTCTATGTCTGTCTCTCTGCAGTCTACGGAGTACACAGAGTAGGTATTTCTGCTCCGTCGAAATCTAGATCCATTCTCCATTCCGTTGCCCTAGCGCCTGTCTGCTCCGAGTCCTGGCATATGCCATCCCAGCTGCAAAAGTGTTAGACACCTCCGACTCGGTGACTCGAGAACTGCCTTACCCATCATCGTTTGTCAACCGACCCAGCAAAGAGTCTACTGGACTTTCCTGGAGGCACTCGAATCCATGACTTAGACATGATATCTAGCAAGCGAAAACGACAATGAGACGCTGCTTCCTGCCAACTTCTACAGCTAAAAAGAAAACGGGCAAGGCAACTAGCTCGATAAACAAACATGACCGTCTCTCAAAGCATCTGGCCTCATTCACTGCTCTCAGAGACGAAAGTCTTCTGCTGATGTATCAGTTGAATTGTAGGTATCCGTACACGCTATCCGAACTTGCCTGCTTGCTATCCTGTGATGAAGGCATTGCCTACCAAACAGCAAGTAAACAGTCAGTACACTCAAAACAACACTTCAGCAAATCATTGCGCGCTTGTTTCCTACAGCCTTGTTTCCTTCCCTGGCTTTCTCTGGGCAATAGCAAGACATCATCGTCCATAACAAGAACGAATACCACCACATAGTGTACCTGGCCCTGCCCACTCACCCCCATCCTTCCGTCATCTTTAGTCCTCACCCCTCAACCCGTGCCGCGCCGCGCCCTCTCGGTCATCCTCAATACGAGCACGCCCCTGCCACACCCCGCCCACCGCCCCCTCCACGCCTCTGGGCGCTACTGCGTATTCTCTCCACGTACACAATACACTCCCCTCCCATTGCTCTCCAGCCTGTTGAACCAGCTGCACATAAAGCTGCTCAGCTCCCGCCTCCTGCATCTTGCTCTACCCTACTCATTCTCTCTTGATCCAACTATTCATCTCTCTGGCTCTTCTTGATACCCTTCGCCGCCGCCTCTACCACCCGAGTCTCCGCCTCTTTTTGTTAATTGGTCTTTTACGTTTCTTGTCAGGGTCTTCGATTGCGTTGAATCAACATGTGGTATGTCCCCCCAATTCCGCTCCCCGCTCTCCTGAAAGCTTGCCGGCATCCTCCCCTTCCCCTCTATCCAGCTTCTGCCAGCTGAAAAAAGGGGTCGGAGCGCCGACAGCCACAAAGGCAATTGGCAGCACAGTAAGCAGGCAGTAAGCTGACGTGCACCTCTCTCCTAATAGTGGCATTTTCGGCTACGTCAACTACCTGGTGGAGAAGGACCGCAAGTTCATCCTCGACACTTTGGTGAACGGTGAGCACACCGCCTCCTACTGAATACTTCCAATTGGAGCCACATAGCTCCACCTTATCTCGAGAGCTATTTTGCTAACGGGCCTCTGCTTCCAACAGGTCTCTCCCGTCTCGAGTACCGTGGATACGACTCGGCCGGTCTTGCTGTCGACGGTGACAAGAAGAATGAGGTCTTCGCCTTCAAGGAGGTTGGCAAGGTCGCCAAGCTCAAGGAGCTCATCGCCGAGTCCAAGGTCGACGAGACCAAGTACTTCGACTCACATGCCGGTATCGCCCACACTCGCTGGGCTACCCACGGCCCCCCGTCTCGTCTGAACTGCCACCCCCACAGGTACGTTTGCACACCCGCAAAAACAACAGCAAACTTTCCCCTTTGAATGCTCTCCTGTCATCAAACTCTCAAGTAGCTGACATGACTTCCCATCTCCTAGATCCGACCCTACCTGGGAGTTCACCGTCGTCCACAATGGTATCATCACCAACTACAAGGAGCTCAAGACCCTCTTGAGCGCCAAGGGCTTCAAGTTCGAGACCGAAACCGACACCGAATGCATTGCTAAGCTCGCCAAGTACCTGTATGACCAGCACCCCGATATTGGCTTCACCGACCTCGCCAAGGCTGTCATCAACGAGCTCGAGGGCGCCTACGGACTTTTGATCAAGTCCGTTCACTACCCCCATGAGGTCATCGCTGCCCGCAAGGGTTCTCCTCTTGTCATTGGTGTCAAGACACAGAAGCGCATGAAGGTCGACTTCGTCGATGTCGAGTACTCCGAGGAGGGTGCCCTCTCTGCCGAGGCTGCCTCCCAGAACGTTGCCCTCAAGAAGCAGCAGGACAACTTCTTGAACCCCAACACTCTGCTGGGTGCCCCCGACAAGTCGCTTTTGCACCGCTCGCAGTCGCGCGCTTTCATGACCGATGACGGCATGCCCATGCCCACCGAGTTCTTCCTCTCGTCTGACCCGTCTGCCATTGTCGAGCACACCAAGAAGGTCATGTACCTTGAGGACGATGACATCGCTCACATTCACGAGGGCTCGCTGAACATTCACCGTCTTAAGAAGGCGGACGGCAGCTCCAATGTGCGCACCATCCAGACCCTGGAGCTTGAGCTTCAGGAGATCATGAAGGGCAAGTTCGATCACTTCATGCAAAAGGAAATTTTCGAGCAGCCCGAGTCCGTCGTCAACACCATGAGAGGTCGTCTCGATGCCGCCAACAAGACTGTCACCCTTGGTGGTCTCCGCTCCTACATTTCTACCATCCGCCGCTGCCGCAGAATTATCTTCATTGCATGCGGTACCAGTTATCACTCATGCATGGCCGTTCGCGGCGTGTTCGAAGAGCTGGCCGAGATCCCCATCGCCGTTGAGCTGGCTTCCGATTTCCTCGACAGACAGGCGCCCGTCTTCCGTGACGACACCTGCGTCTTCGTCTCCCAGTCTGGTGAGACTGCTGACTCTCTCATGGCTCTCCGCTACTGCTTGGAGCGCGGTGCCCTGACCGTCGGTATCGTCAACGTCGTCGGTTCCTCCATCTCCCTGCTCACCCACTGCGGTGTCCACGTCAACGCCGGTCCCGAAATCGGTGTTGCCTCCACCAAGGCCTACACCTCCCAGTTCATTGCCATGGTCATGTTCGCCCTCTCCCTTAGTGAGGACCGCGCATCCAAGCAGAAGCGTCGCGAGGAGATCATGGAGGGTCTCGCCAAGATCCCTGAGCAGATCAAGGATATCCTCACCCAGGACCAGTCCATCAAGGAGCTCTGCTCCAAGACTTTCCAGAACCAGAAGTCCCTTCTGCTCCTCGGTCGTGGTGCCCAGTTCTCTACCGCCCTTGAGGGTGCCCTGAAGATCAAGGAAATTTCCTACCTTCACTGCGAGGCTGTCATGTCCGGTGAGCTGAAGCACGGTGTTCTTGCTCTCGTTGACGAGAACTTGCCCATCATCATGATCCTCACCCGTGATGATCTCTTCAAGAAGTCGCTCAACGCCTACCAGCAAGGTAAGTCTAGAATATTAGCCAACATCAAGCTTGATAATTTGCTAACAAATTGAATAGTCATTGCTCGCAGCGGAAAGCCCATTGTCATCTGCAACCCTGGTGACGAGGAGTTCAAGACCAGCGAGGCTGAGAAGATTGAGATCCCCAAGACGGTCGATGCCCTCCAGGGTATCCTCAACGTCGTTCCTCTGCAGCTGATTGCTTACTGGCTGGCTGTCATGGAGGGACTCAACGTCGATTTCCCTCGTAACCTGGCCAAGTCTGTCACTGTCGAGTAAACTGCTCACATAGCCTGAGTGAAGTTTGGTTTATTGTCGGGTGATTCGCCCCCTTGGAGTTGGGTTGCCAAAAGGGAGGATAAGCCCTTGATGCTTTTGATGTCACAGCGGGCCACAAAAAGGCGATGGCAACTTCGGAGCCCTCTGATGTATTACTGGGTATTGTGAAAATGGGGGAATGGTCCAGCATGGTAGATTTGGGCCGGTCAAGATAAAGGAGCGTATCTTTTTGAGGTTAAATGCCGTAGTCAGGCAACCTGAAGCAATGAAGAACAATATTGTCTATTTCATTTGGTGTTACACATGCTTGCTCGCACACGCCTGATTTCATCGTGATGTCGATAAGCCCTGGGTTGCAGGGCTCGTGCTTCTCTTCTACTACTTGCGTCTCATGAGTATTCCCACCCACGGGACTGCCAGAGCTTATGCCGAATACCCAGTCATTGTCATGTCATTTCCACCCATTCTCTCACTGCCTGTCTCTCTATGTCCCAAAGATCCTTGTGTCCGTACCTTCCCTAAGCTTAGTTCACCTGCGTGCCGTAGCCGCGGATCCGTTCCGCAAACTTCCAGCTCTGCTTCTCAAGCTTCTCACTCTCCTTCAAGTCGACTCCATCCTTGGTTACTACAGCGATCGAGTAGGAATCCGAGCTGCGAGCGTCACGGTAGAAGAGAACCTTCATACACTCCTTAATCACGTCGACGGCCTGCTCCTTGGAGAGCTTAGCGGCGGTCTCCTCATCGGGGGCGTAGCGACGCATGATGGGTTGGGCGAGGGCTGAGCCGAAACCCGTTGCCAGGGAGGGAGAGGTGAAGGTGGTGCCGAGCAGGTCGGCGGCGGCGAGGAAGGGCTTGTTGTTGTCGTCGAGGCCGGCGACGAGGAGGTGGTTCCAGAGGGGGTCGAAGTCGGAGCGGCGCTTGTAGAGGAGCTTGGAGAGGTACTTGTGAAGGTTCGCGGCATTGAGCCGGGCGGGGGCGTCGTTGGCCAGGTCGTAGGACTCCTCAATGTCGAGGCTTGAGAGATGGCGGTCGAGGTATTGCATGTCGGAGACGTCGCCGCCGAAGCCCACGACTGTGGAGTTGGCGAAAGTGCGGAGACGCTTGACATCGGTGAAACGGGCGAGGGAGCCGTAGGATGCTATATGATAGAACAATTGTCAGCTTTCATTATTGGAACAGTATGATGACAGCACAAGACGGCATTGAAGGGCGAGCAAAGACAAAGACGTACCCAGGTTGTCGGCGGCGATGACGACACCTTCGCTGAACTTGATGGCAATGACTGATGTACCCGTGACGATGGGGGCCTGTGTCGCTTGGTTGGGACCATTGGTGTTCATGTACGAGCCATCGTAGGCTCCGTAGACGTCGTCTCTAGGCTATGAGGAGGGGTTCCGGCTTGTTAGTCTACAATGCGAGGCTGAGATTCCCGGGAAGGAGGGGAGGGGGGAGACTGGGGATTGCGTACACGGCCCCAAGCTTGCGGTCTGTGATCCATGGTGGCTGGATTTTGTGTAGTTTGGAGATCAAGGTGATGAAAATGTGGTCGGAAAGGAGGATAGGCTTCGTCGTTGTTGCAAGTTCGTGGGTGGGTTTGGTGATGGTTCGGTATGTGAAGTTGATTGAAGCTTGTCCGGGGTGAGCTTCGCGTCCCGTGGGTGCCTCTGCAGGCCGCCTGGCTGGCCGCCTGGCTGACTGGCTGACAGGCCAGTTGCTCCCGCCGCCGCTAGAGCTACTGCGTCAAGGCTCTGGTGCCTGACAAACGGGGCCGCAAGTTTGGGGTGGGCTTACCAAAAATGGTCAGCTTGGAGCTGTTGTGGTGGGTGATTGAAGGTGGCGTACCCCGTACTCTGTTTTGCACCCTTTTATCATAGTATTTTGGTACTCGGTACATCAGAGCTCCAGGGGTGGATGGTCAAACAAACAAGGAGGTCGACCAAGTTCAGTCGCATTGCTCACAGTCCCTCGTCATTCCGTCAATACCACGGACGGCAATTGTGGTGTCGAAAACACACCCCCGACTCCCCCGACTCCCACGATTGGCCTGATCCTAGCCTCAATACCGCTCGCATTCGACTCGCCCTATCCAGCCCCTTCCGGATTGCCCTATCGCAATCGACCACCACCACTAAACATCTCCCGGCTCGCTCCAAAACACCAAACACCAGCCCACTCACAAGATCACAACAATGTTGACAGCAATCGGCCGCGCCGCCGCTCAGCGCGTGCTCCTCCGCACCGCCCCGCTGGCAGTACCGCGAACTCAGCTTGCCGTCGTGCGCGCAGCGTCTTGCCGCGGCTTCTCAACCTCGCAATGGGCGCGCATGCCTGCCACCAAGGCGGCGACAACCACTAAGACCAAGACGAAGACCACGGCCGCCAAGAAGAAGCCTGCCACCAAGGCCAAGAAGCCCGCTGCTAAGAAGCCCAAGGCGAAGAAGAAGGTCGCCGTTAAGAAGGCTGTGCCCAAGAAGAAGGTCAAGAAGGTGGTGCTCACGCCCGAGCAACAGAAGAGGCTCAGGGTGCGGGAGTTGAAGACGGCAGCGCTGCTGGAGGAGCCCAAGAAGCTCCCAACGAACACATTCCGGGTGTACGCTGAGCAACAATTTGCTACGGAGCCCACCTCAGACTTGAAGTTGACCGACCGGGTCAAGAGCATTGCCGAGTCTTACAAGAACCTGTCCTCATACGAAGTCCAGGTAAGGCCTGACCCTCTGTCTTATTCCTTCTGCTGTGAATCTCCAACAGAAGCCCCTCGATCCATATCAAACAAGAGACTGACAAACCTGGAATACATAGCGTCTCGAAGAGACTGCCGAAGCCAACAAGCTGACCAACAACGCGGCCTACAAGTCGTGGGTTGAGTCGCTCCAGCCCACGGTTGTGGCCGAGGCCAACCGCGCCCGCGCGAGGCTCCGCAACCTTACCGGCAAGCAGGTCCCGCGGGCCATCCGCGACGACCGCCTCCCCAAGAGGCCGCACAACGCCTACGCGCTCTTCGTCAAGGCGCGGTTTGGCAGCGGCGACTACTCCAACCACACCGGCAAGGCGAGTGAGAACATGCAAGCCATTGGCAACGAGTGGAAGCAGATGTCACCGCCCGAGAAGCTCGCGTATGAGGAGCTCGCCAAGGCTGACTTTGACCGTTGGGAGCGCGAGTCGCTGGAAGTCTTGGGCCATGTCGTCAAGCGTAGCCCTTCTCCCGAGTAAGAAAAAATTCACCCAGTTCAGGTCACGAATCTGAGCGGTAGCCCCTTTCTTTCTCTCCTCGAGGATTCCCCTTGAGGAATAAATTCCACCCCACGGCGTCAAGTGTCAAAAAAGTAGGATATGCCTGAGCGAGTTCAGCAGCGCGATGAATCGTGTACGAGGAGGAGCAAGCCGGGAAGAGGAGGGTATGCTTATTGGTTTTCCTTGTTCTGTACAGAGTAGGAATTGCTAGAAGGATCGGTTGATGTTTCTTAGCTATATTTCAGATACCAAATGTCAAAGAGAGGTTTCGCGACTAGGACGAAATGTTCAATTTGCTCCCTATATACCATTTTGAAGGTGCGCCCATTGTTTATTTCTATGCTAATCAGGTTGTTTGCCCCGTATCCAAACTTGTTAAGCAGTACCGCCCTGTCGAACCCCTTACCTTATGCAAACGCCTCGCTTAGCCAAGGAAAACAAGAAGTAAAACGAAATGAAAACAGCCCGCCGCGTCGTCTCCCATCTTACTACATTCCGTCGTCGGGATCGTCCTCCACGCTCTCCCCAGAGTCGGAGTTTTCGTGGCCATTGGTGATGACAATAACCTCACCCGCACCGTCCAGCCACCTCGCCGCATCCTTCTTCAGCGCCCTCTCGCTCGCCAGGTATAAGGCCAGATAGATGTGACCGACGATGTGGCCCCAGCAGTACACGCGTATACAGGACCAGTCCTCTGCGCGTTTACACCAGACGCCCCATCCCGCGAACCCTTCGAGGATGTAATCCGTCAAAAAGTGCCAGGCTCGCTCGCGGAGACTCGGTCGCCAGCCGGTCCAGTCCAAGTGCCAGTGGCCTCGCTCAAATGGACGCAGTTCCCTCGTCTGTTCAACCGGAGCAAAGCGCTTCGATATCTTGAGTTGGCGGGCCAGCTCCTTCAGCTTGGGCGTCAGGAGATCATCTGGCGTCAGCTCGCTGGTGCCGACGGGGGGGCCAACGGGGTGGATCTCAAGACGTGCGAGGTAGCTCAAGTGCCTCTCATTAGGAGGCCGTTGAGGTCTGAAAAGATCGCTGGGCCCAGGGCCTACATCTGAGGAGCTTCTCGTGATGACAGACCTCGATTCCGAGATGGGCGCTGACCGTTTGTGCCGTTTCGATGGAAGTAGGGGCTCGGAGCCGGCTCGGTTTGGCGATGACGGTATTGCTCTCTTCCGAGACGGTTGGCAAGGCGTGTCCTGTATTATCTGCTCAAAAGGAGAGCTGAATAAAGGCAGTCGCTTCAGAGCAGGGAACGGCGTGTTGAGGATTATAGCATCTGCGGGAATAGTAGAGGCCGCTGGAACTGGGGTGGCATTGCTCTTAATTGCCAGGGAGTTGCTCGACGTTACGAGAATAACCTGACCATCTTCCTCATCTTCATTACAGTCTTCCTCTATGACTGGCGTAGCCGTTGCGACTACTTCTGGAACTTGTTGCTGGCTTCCCTCTGAGGACAGTTGCGGAGATTCCCCATCGAGTTGGCTATCGAACTGCCCTGCCAGATGTTCGAAGAGCCGGCTCGGGGATGAGAACTCGGCAAGACTGATGTCATATGACGGCTGAGAATCAGCGACGACACTGGGAGGAGCTACCCAGCTAGCCTGCGTTGGCTGTGAATCAGCCACAGGTTGAGACGAAGGTGGTAAGTCTCTAGATGCAAGTGGCTGACCGAGACCCGGGGAATTTCTGTTATCCAAGACACTCCTAAAGGACAGTTGCTGTGATTCGAAAGATCCAAAAGTTGCGGGGTATTGAGGTGGCGGTGGTGGTATATGTGGTGGTGATGAGGTTGCCGGTTGCGTTGTTTCGCTATCGAGGTTCGGCACATCTGACCAAGCAGGCAACGCTGGTGGCTCGGCCTCTGAGCTGTGGATAGCTTCGACATCTTCCTCTTCTGAAGGTTTGCTGAAAATATTGGTCTGTCTCGTTGGTGCAAAATCGAGATATGCCTGGGCAAGGGCTCGGTAGCGCACATCATCGATGTTTCTGCACGGCGCTGTGACGTGCACTAGGATCTCGACGTCGTCATGTGCCTCCATGACAACCTCACTGGGAAACTGGAGAGTACATTCATCTCCAAGAGCAAGCGCCAAGATGCATAATAATGGAAGGTGCTCTCGTAAGGTCCAAAAAAGATGAAGCAGGTTACGAAGATGATAGGTGATGGTAGCTTTGACCAAAAGAGGTGAGAAGGAGAATAAAGCAATTCCGTCTGTCACTCTTCGCCTAAGAATATGTCAGACTTAAAAGTGAAAGTGAAGTCTTAAGAGACGCGCCTGCATAGCAGTCTCGAAAGTCAGTGCTCTTCGAGGTGGGGCACCTTGCTGTATTCCCCCCTGCACCTCATGTCATGTTGAATGCGGAAGCAGACACGCATCTCACCGGCCCCACCACAACAGCGTCGTAGAGGTTGGATGTTCTGCGAGGTATTCTCTGGCATGTTCTCCATACGGGTAGCCTAAATGCAATTAGCGCCACTCAGAAAGTTCAAAAGTAGTTATACTAACCCTGGAGGAGTAGTATTGCCTAGCTATTGTGTACTAGGTACTCAAGCTGTACTTTGAAATTGGATCGAACAAACTGAAGCTTGGCCTCTCTGGTGCTGTGCCATTACCCCAGAAATCCTCAGTTCAGGGGACCAGAGACAACAGACCACGCCAATTAATTCTCCTTTCCCAGAGCCTCCTCCAACTCCTCCACCTCAGCCCGTGATAACACCCCAACGACCACCCTCTCTCCCACCCGAAAACCAGCAGCGCCGCGAACATGTCTGCAAAGCCCACCACGCCCCCCAACCTGGGCAAGGTCCTCGTCGTCGGCGGCAACGGCTTCCTCGGCCACCACGTGGTCAACCAACTCCTGGCCGGCGACCGCTGGGCCGTCGCATCCGTCGACGTTGTAGATCTCCGCTGCGCCAACAACCGCAACCCCAAAGCCAACTACCACGAGGCGGACATCACCGACGTAGACAAGATCAAGTCCCTCTTCGAGAACGTTAAACCCGACGTCGTCGTCCACACCGCCTCCCCCGCGCCCCAGGGCGATAGCGCCATCGCAAAGGATCTCTTCCGCAAGGTCAACGTCGACGGCACCGCTTCCATCATCGCCGCCTGCCAGGCCGCCTCCGTAAAGGCTCTCGTCTACACGTCTTCCGCGAGTATCATTAGCGACAATGCCACCGACCTTATCAATGCCGACGAGCGTTGGCCCGTCATCCGCGGCGAACTGCAGACGGAGTATTACTCCGAGACCAAGGTGCGCACGCCAGCCTACGAATTCCCACGCTCCATTGCTCTTATAATGCGATGGCCAATCTCCTGCTCTTCTCCTTCAAGTGTTGTTGCGTTACCAATGACTGACATGTGACCATTCGTAGGCCGCCGCAGAAGAATTGGTCCTCGAGGCAAACCGCCAAGACCCCTACCCCCTCCTCACATCCGCCATCCGCCCCGCGGGCATCTTCGGCGAGGGCGACACCATGGTGACGCACCAAATGGTCAAGATCTACCGCGAGGGCAAGACGGGCGTCCAGCTCGGCGACAACGACAACCTCTTCGACTTCACCTACGTCGGCAACGTCGCCCACGCCCACCTCCTCGCCGCCCGCCTCCTCCTCGCGACCGCCGCCTCCTCCATCACGCCCCTCGACCACGAAAAGGTCGACGGCGAGGCCTTCCTCGTCACAAACGACAGCCCCATCTACTTTTGGGATTTCGCCCGCGCCATCTGGCGCGCCGCCGGCTCCGACAAGGGCACCGACCACGCCTGGAAGATCTCCCGCGAGTTCGGCATCGCGCTGGGCTTCTGCTCCGAAATCTTCTTTGCCATCATCGGCAAGCCGCCCATCTTCAACCGCCAGCGCTGCATCTACAGCTGCATGACGCGCTACTACAACATCAGCAAGGCCAAGCGCCTCCTCGGGTACCGACCCATTGTCGGCCTTGACGACGGCATCAAGAGGGGCGTGCAGTGGTTCCTCGACCAGGAGAAGGCTGGCAAGGTGAGCGTCAAGGCATGAAGGACGCTGTTACAAAGGCGATGATGGTTATGATGAAGGGCGGTGGTGTTTTAGGGATATGAGACCTTCATGTTGAAAAAAAAGTTTTCAGAGATTTTTCATCGTATATATACATAAACCACCCCTCAATGCCAGAGGGAACTAATAAACGGCCAATAAGCGGCCACATCATGAGCAAGAGCAACATATCTCAGGCCGTATTCTTTGCCTTTCTATGCGTGTAAGCAGGCATTGCGAATGGGCTGTGAAACATGATTGTAGGACACGCGAGCAGCAACATGTTTGCACACATATTCAGAGGCAATAGTTGGAGAAAACCTGCAGGCAATGCTTGGCCTGTCCTATTCGCGTTGGCGGAACTACCTAGGTGGCCCTTTTACTCCATCCATAGCTACGCGGAGGAGCGTCTTTCAAAGGCGAACAATGGACGAGGTTTCCCCATTCCTCCCGACCCCTTTCTCGAGATGCGCGCAAACGTGGCGCACTATTCGGCCTCCTCCCTCCCCCCTGGCTCCAGATCATCTCACAAATGTAATCCGATATCTCCCTCTTTCAACAAAAGAAGCGAAGCTATACTAGGTCTCTCGCGCAAGCCAAGAAGAAACGAGGCCAGCTGTCCAGCTCGAGACATATCAATCAAATCAGACCGGTATCACCCATCGACAAGTCAATGGGCACAGGGCCTTTACTCCAAACAAGCCAGGGTCAAACCAAGACCACCAGTCCTCTTTCCCCCCCTTTCCAGTAGACGACGGGATCGTAATTTGTGCGAAGGAACACCAGCAGACCGTTAGGATGCCTCATTCCATATCGATCCGATGCTTCACTCTCGGAGAAGCCAAGAAGCAGAGGGTTTGACAAAGTGTTGGAAGAGAACTTTGAAAAGAAATAAAAAAATCATTCATGCCGCCTTGTCGTGAGTTGAGTAGCCGAACAAAAGAAAAGTCTTTTGTCCTTTTGATGA